ACAGACAGACAGACAGACAGACAGACAGACAGACAGACAGACAGACAGACAGACAGACAGACAGATGTGACTGAAAACATTACCTCCTCCCCTTGGTGGAGGTAGTTACTTGATAATTTAGCACCACAGATAAGCATTATGTATCTTCAGGGAGTATGATTTGAATATAGTGATTTGAATATAATAATTTGAATAAGTGCAGCTATTGTGCATTCGTCAGAACCACTCAGTTCTTCATTGTTCACTTGGCAGAGATGAGTAAATCTACAAACGGCTGCCAGAGCTGCCTGCATTATGTTTTTGACTATGAAACAACAAAAACACTGGTCGTCCCCAGCCTGAGGGTAGGACTGGTCTTCAGGTTGGCCCAGCTCGTGGTGCTGCTGTATGTGGTGGGGTGAGTTCTGAGTTTTACAAAATGATCCAAGTCTTAGATTGTTTATTTGGTATGTTGTTTTAAAGCGGTTCAACAGTGTCCCTGCTGTTAACCTGCTGCAGGTATGTGTGTGTGGTGCAGAAGGCCTACCAGGAAACTGACTCGGTCATCAGCACCGTCACCACTAAGGTCAAAGGTTTCGTCTTCACCAACACATCCAACATGGAGCCTCGGTTTTGGGATGTTGTGGATTCTGTCATCCCCCCTCAGGTATCTGTGTTGAAGTGCTCCTTGAGTTTATCTGCAAAATGACAGGTTGATTTTATGTTTGCTCTTCTGTCTAACAGGGGGATCATTCTTTCTTTGTGCTGACAAACTTGGTGGAAACCCCTGATCAAACCCAGTCACGCTGTCCTGAGGTGAGTGTGTGGGTTTTTACCTAAATAAACACAAAAAGGTGCTCCGTGTGCCGACCCGTCTGTGTGTGTGGTATAGTGTGTGTGTGTGTGTGTGTGTGTGTGTGTGTGTGTGTGTGTGTGTACTGGTTTTTGTTATCTTTTTCGAGTCTGTTCTGGTATAAAAACCTTGTCAGTACCAGTAGTTCTTTTGTTGACCAAAAACCTGGTCCTAATGTGGTGAAACACCATTTTAGGGTTAGGGGTTAGGTTTGAGGGTCAGGGTCAGGAAATGATTAGAAACCAATACAGGGTCCTAATAAGGATAGAAATAAAAACCTGTGTGTGTGCAGGTGGGTATTATCTACTATGTGGGGATGATTTTTGGCATAGACCCCTACTTGTGAGGACCAACTTGTATTTATGGGGACCTACGTCTAGTTCCCATGGGGGGGGGGGGGGTGTTGATGGGGTCAGGGTTAGGTTCAGGATAAAGGGTCAGGGTTAGGCTGTAGAAATGAATKGAAGTCAATGCAATGTCCCCATAAAGATAGCTGTACTCAGAGTTGTAAAGTAACTAAGTACTTTGTTACTGTACTTAAGTAGAATTTTTGGGTATCTGTACATTACTTGAGTAATTATTCTTCAGCCTAACTTTTACTTCTACTTCTTACATTTTCACACAGTTATCTGTACTTTCTACTTGTTATATTTTTAAACAAGGTAAGAAGTAGGAAGTCGTTACTCGTATTTCATTTGTTGCTAAAAAATATAATCCTGATAAATTGTGCCTCCTGGATAGAGTGAATTTAATTGTAGTTGGATGAAAAGTATAAATATATACCATTCTGACACCAAATTGTACACAATCCATCACAGCTGCACGCCTTTAGAAAAAAAACATTTTTTTGGAATGTTCACCTCCCAATAAATGTCATTTTGGAAAATCTGACAGCTCACTTTTACTTAGTACTTTCACTTTTAATACTTAAGTAAATTTTATGTCAGAAATTTACTTGAGATACTTACGTACAAAAAAAATCTGATACTTTATGACTTTTACTCAAGTAATACTCTTAGAGGAAACTTTAACTTGTACCAAAGTAATTTCAGGATAAGATACTTGTACTTTTACTCAAGTTTCACTTTGAGGTACTTTACACAACACTAGCTGTACGAAACTGTGTGTGTCTCTTGCTGTCAGTTAGCAAACAGGTTTTATTAAAAGCCTAAAAAAATCAGTGGAAGTTTTTTGAATTACTTAATCATAATAAAATCTTTTTAAAAATTCAAAATAAAATATTTCCTCAGGCTTCAGGAACTCTTATTATTTCAGTCATTCTTTCATAAATGATTCATCATTCCTCATGTTATTAAAGACACTGCACAGCAGTAACACACTGAGTGAACACACACTGTACTGCTGATCCCTCCTGCAGTTTCCAACCCCTTCAACTATCTGTGTGGAYGACTGTGACTGCATTGTGGGACACAATGATCCTCGAGGCAACGGTAGGGCCAGATGTCTGTTAACATACCAGCTGTGTGACATGGCCCAGCTAACCACAATAACACATTTCCCCCTCAGGTGTACAGACCGGACTGTGTGAGAATTATTCAACCACCGTAAAGACGTGTGAAGTGCACTCATGGTGCCCTCTGGAAATAGACACCAAGCTGCCTGAGTAAGATGTGTTCAGAAGGGACACTATTACAACTGCTGATATGAAAACATGGGGACGTTTGTGTAAAATGGAAATAAGAACTGAACGCAATGATTTGCAAATCAGTTTGGTATCAAGATGTTTCTACTRTAAAGTCGTGTTGAAATGGATGCAGAATGAAGTTCAGCTGAAACATGGAGAGCTTTTCCTGAAAAAAAGAAGTGTCCTGAACAAGCTGCTCTAAAACATGTTTTTACCTCTCTGTATTAATTGTGCCTTTCTAGATGTGTAGGCAGCCTATGCCATAGGCACTAATGTAACCCCATACCATCAGAGAATTTTGCTCTGATAACAAACTGTATGGTTCCTCTGCTTTTAAGCAGGGAGACTGTGGGAGAGTTTTACATTTTGATTTGTCAGACCACAGAACAGTTTTCCACTTTGTCTCACTTCATTTTAAAAAGCTTTTGGCCCAGAGGAGACAGCAGCATTAAACGGATGGTGTTTACATTTGGCTTCTTCTTTGAATGATAGAGCTTTAACCAGCATCTGTATGAAATGTGTTTACAGACGATGATTTGTGGAAGTGTTCCTGATGATGTCCAGAACAGAATCAGATCTGTTTTTTACTGCAGCCTGAGGACCCAAAGATCCAATATTAGCTTTCAGCCTTTTAGTTTTTTGTGCACAGAAGGTTCTCCAGATTCTTGAAATCTTTTGGTGATATTATGAAGAGTAGATGATAGAATTTTAATTATTGTGACTTTGTTCTTTAAGTTGTTTTCGGTGCAGTTTTTTGCAGACTGGTGAAACTTCATTTATTTTTACTTGAGAGATTCCTCTACACACCCGCCCAGTTTCTCTGCCCACTTTTTCCTTTCTGAGTCACGGGGAGCTGGTGCCTACGTTCAGCTGTCACTGTGTGACGTGCACCTTGAGAAGGTCACAAGTCCATCACAGGGACATATAGAGACAGATGAGATAAACACACCTAGGGACAATGTAATCACCAATTAATCTAGCATGAATGTTTATGGTCTGTGAGAGGAAAGTGGAGTACCTGGAGAACATGCAAACTGAGGTTCTAATCATAGTTCCACCCTCTGAGAACTTCTGCATCAAACATGTTCTTCTTATACCCCGTCCACTCACAGACCTGTGCTCACTGATCTCATTARTTGCAGAGGACTCCTCCAGTTTCTTATTAATAACCTGACTTTTGTGACCAAACTTATTTGCAGTGTTGGGCAGCACTAATCTAAAAATTAGTTCCACTAGCCCTAAAACACTAACTCAAAAATTTAGTTCCCCTAATTCTAAAGTACTAATGCACTGAAAAATTTAGCAAAAGCTCATTCTAAAGCACTAAAATAACCCAGTCAACCCATGAACATTCTTCAACAGACAACATTGAATCACATGTTGCTCTCTTAAGACTTGTCATTGACATTCCACAGCTGCATTTGAGTTCATTTATTGTCACCTGGTGGATAAGTGACACTCATTGTCAGGGTTTAGAACTGCGAGCTGGACCCAAAACAAAGGCARGCGAGACTAAAAATGAATAATCTTTTATTAAAGAAAAAGAACTGGTGTGGCAGCAAAACCAAAACTAGAATACAAATGAAATAAGGCGAGGCGAACGTGACGCATGAGACATGAACTAAACCAAAACAAGCAATGAATGGATGTAGGAGTGGAGGAGTGAAGCTGGTTAAATASAAACAGSGCTGAGTGGARGTAGGAAGCAGCTGGGTGAYWACAATTGAGGACAGGTGTGAAAGAACTGACTAGAAAGAACCAGAAAAGACTGAGGGACAAGAGGGCATGGAAAATAGAACATGGACACCAGAGGGAGGCATAGCACAAGACAACAGAAAGCACACACAAAACACCAATCCTAACACTCATTTGAACAAAATGTGTGACAGTTTTCACCATCAGCTGTTAACATTAACATTGATCAATAACATTTAGACCTCAGTTAGTTCTTCTAAATTTAGCCTATAAATTTAGCAAGTTCTAATCCACTAATAAATTTTAAAATGAGCAAAAGCCCTAAAGCACTAAAGAGGAAATTATTCCAGTGCTTTAGGGGAACTGTGCCCACCACTGCTTGTTTGAGTTGTGTTGCTGCCATAAGACATARAGTAGAGCCGCTGCTCCTCCACATCGAGAGGAGCCAGTTGAGGTGGTTCATCTGGTTAGGATGCCTCCTGGAAACCTCCTTGGTGATGTGTTCCGGGTATGTCCCACTGGGAGGAGACCCAGTGGAAGACCCAGGACACGCTGGAGGGACTATGTCTCTCAGCTGGCCTGGGAACACCTTGGGATTCCCCTGGATGAGCTGACCCAAGTGGCTGGAGAGAAGGAAATCTGGGTCTCTCTGCTCAGGCTGCTGCCCCCGAGACCTGACCCCAGATAAGAGGAAGAAGATGGATGGATGGATGGATGGATGGATGGATGGACTGTTTCATTGTGAATAAAAAATGGGTTTATTATTTTTGCAAATCGTTGTATTCTGTTTTCACTTACATTTTACACAATATCCCAGTGTTTTCAGATTCAGGGGGGTTTGCTTCATGTTTTCTTTGAGGCTTATGGTTTTTTGTTTGACCTGCAGACGTGCACTCCTGGCTGCAGCAGAAAACTTTACGGTGTTAATAAAAAACAGCATCACATACCGAAAGTTCAACTTTCACAGGTCAGTAGCCTCTGAATGTAAAAGAAACATTACGTTGCAAAGCA